GTGTGTGTGTGTGTCTTTGTGTGTGTGTGTGTGTGTGTGTGTGTGTGAGAGAGAGAGAGAGAGAGAGAGAGAGAGAGAGAGAGGGCACACATGAATGAAGGAGATCTTTTTATTGAGTAGCCTGCTCTTGAAGGTGCAATTTCCACTATCATCCAGTGAGTAGAACACAAACTGCTTTGGGAAGCAGCATCTACTCCCCTTACTCCCCAACAAGGAACTGCACAGCTGAAATGTATCTGCCTTACTCTGTATGAACCATATTTTTCATATTTGCCCTCCCCAACTATTCTCGGATCCACCATCTTTCACTTCTCATATAACTTTATTTTTATTTTAACCTTTTTTTCTGGCCAAATTGTACTATCCAAAATATTCTAATAAGTAGTCAGCTTACAAGTAGCTACCAGTTGCCAATAGCTTCACAGATAGTTGGGATCATGCTCTCAGCTCCCCTCTCCATGCTGGGATTTGTGTGGCTTGTGCTTGCCAAGGTTTTGTGCATCTTGTCACACCTCTGCCATGTCACATGTGTCTAGAGGAGTTTTCCTTGCCATCTAGCACCTCTTACACTATTTCTGTTTCCTAGTCCCCAAGGTCCTTGAGCATTGGGAAGGGGTTGTGTGGTATATATGTTCTCTTTAGAGATAGGCATTCTGAAATCTCTTATACTCTGTACTTTGGTCAATTGTGGTTCTCTGTGTTAATCGACATGTACTTCCAATTGAAGCTTTTCTGATAAGAATTGAAAGATGCACTGGTCTATGGGTATAACTATTTCTTTGGTTCTCCTATTAATGTAATACAGCTAATGTATGAATGCAAGCTTCATTTTTCCAAAATAGGATATCCAACTGCCTAGACGTGTGCTTTTATCTTGAAATGCTGAAATGCACCATGGGAAAATCTCCAGTGTCCTGACCCAGACATGTAAGCTGTTGAAAGGATTACTGATGTTCTTCTACCTCTTCTTCATCTTGCATCATCACACACCTGCCCCACTTCATTGTTGCAGATCTCTGCAGACAACCACCTGCCAGCAATCTCTCAGGTGAGATTGAAGTTCTGATTGTATAACATGGTATAATTTTCCCAGCAACTCCAGTTTGTCAGATTAATGACACACTCTACTGTTCAGAACACCCTTTCCTCTCCTGTACTCAGGGTGTTAAATTGGCATTTGAGTGTGTTGTTTGTCTCAAGCTTAGATTATCATTCTTTGTGAGATGAAGTTACATTGGGCTCAATAATGACTGATTGTAATATTTTTAATTACTATTTTTTTGTTTTTGTCTGATGTTATTTTCTATGCACATTTTATTAAAATCACTATTTTTCCTTCTTATATCAAAATCAGTAGAGCTTTTGAAAATAAAAAGCCAATAATGAGAGTGTATCATCTGTGTTTAATCTAAATTCTATTTATCTTTAGCTTCAACAGAATTCCTAAAGCTTATACTTGTTTTAAAATAATGACTTCTATTAGCAAAATGTATAGTTTTTCATGAATGAAACTTTAGTTAATTATTTTGTATTAAGTGCCTTTATTGATACATATTAATACTTTATAGCTCAACAGTACTTTCCTAAAGTTGCTTTTCCCTTAATTTACACCCTTGTCTTCCCCTGGATTTTTATTCTCAAAAGACTCTGAACCCCTGCCATGATTCTCTGTCTAGGAGTTGCTCTTGACTAAGAACACCAACATGGTTCTGACCTCTTAGAAAAAAAATGTGAAGAAGAAAGCATCTTTGGGGAGGGTCTAGTACCTTCTATTGCTTTGACTCCTGGGCTCTAATTGGCCATGCTTCTCTCTACCTTAGTATATGACATCACTTGTTGAACTTTTCCATTTAAATCACACATAGCTCTGAAATACCTTATTCTATTGATTTAATTGCACTTACTTTTCAAAACTTCCCTCTATGTTTGTATGTGTGTATAGGTCTGTGTGTGTGTGTGTGTGTGTGTGTGTGTGTGTGTGTGTGTGTGTGGATGTGTGTGTGTGTACGCGCGCGCGCACACACATTTACATATGGAAACCAAAGACTGATGTTGGATGCCTTCCTCAATATTTCTTTACTTTATTTCTTGATAGAAAATGTCTAACGAGCCAGTAGGATGTTAAGACAAAGATGGAATCTAAATATTAACATCCAAGGCTGTCATCTGGCACACACACACACACACACACACACACACACACACACACACACATATATTGTGCTTCCACAATTTTTGATAAGTTTAAACAAGTTTTAGAATCATGTTGTGATTAATTTTTTAGTTTCTTAATTCCAGTAAAGTGATGAGTCTCCACAATTTTTTATGGAAGGATTTATAGCATGATTTTAGTTAAACTTCTAAATCATATAGGACAATATCCACTGTGAATTATTTCAATGAACGAGTGTTAAGTAGTATATAAACAGAATGCTAAAAATGAGGAAGTTCTCTGAAGACATTTTGCTGTTTTACCAATCTCAATTCATCAGTAAAAAATCATGTCATGAAAATGTGCTTTAATGACTTTTAGAACAACTTAGAAGCTGACCATGGTGACTATGTGTCTCTTATGCTAAAGAAAATGTGTTTAAGTATGATTAATAATGTTTAAAAATAATTCAGAGTTTTCAAAAAATAAGATTTTAATTTTGTTTCAGCATACTGTAAATATAATCTTATACTGGACTTTGGCACTGACATCAGTTGAAAATTGACCAACTATCCATTCTGAGTATTTAGTCAAAACATGTAGTCTCTATTAATAAATACTATTGAGATAGATACAATAGAAGAGAATAGACTTAAATGGGAAACACAGACTTGACCTGAATGAATGACAGAAGATTAAGTACTGTTCTGTGAACGTATCTCTATTTGTAAATGTGTCTAGGTACACAGGTACAGAGGCTCTGCACTTATGAGATATTCGGGATATAACATATAGTTCATATTAGGGTCATTAGAAACACCTTGGAATTCACTGAAATAGGTCAAGGAAAACTGATATGTAGCAAGAGGACATGCACAAACTACTGAAATTGCTATCAAAGGATAGAAATGAAAGATTTGGAAGATATTTTTTTCATAAAGGACCAAGATGTGTGAGCTACAAACTTAATGAAAGTATTAATATAATAATAATTAGGACTAAGAATATGTGGAAGGAAGCTGGGAATAGAAAATTTAGTAGGAACATTTGAAGAGCTAAGAACATGTTGATGATGCTTGCTAATAACAGTTATAGTAATGTTAATATATATTACTATTTCCTGTAGTGTATTTATTTTAGTGCAAGTTGATTCGTACTACACTCCATGGTAAAACAGAGCACAGATTAGTAACCTATTCTGCAAAAAGAATGGTTCAGTTTATGGGGAATACAGCTGTTTTAGAAATGAAACAATAATAGAAAATATCTGTCGCTGTTTTCTCACTTCCAAATGATTTTTATCATTATCATTTTATGTGTTTGACAAGATTTTTTGATATAATTTTTACAGATGAGAATCAGAAAAATTGAAACATTCATTCACATGTTATATATGATTAAGTATACATATATGCATGCATATAAGTGCATACATAACCATAAAAGAATATATGTTCATGTTTTCATGACTTCTGATGATTTCTAAAAACTGCTGCCTTCACTTATAAGTGATTGATGTAGTTTACAAATATAGATAATCTATGACGGTGTTGAAGGGACAAGAAAGAATAAATTTTCATTTATTGAGTAAATGAAAAAGTCATCAATTAATAGTTACAGAATAAATTCATTTTGGGTTCTCTTGGATTTCACTATGAATCCCCCCAAAAGTATAGCTCTAAGATCAAGCTTTTTTGAGTTATTTGACAAATTAAAATATTTGAGTAAAGCTTTTAAGTTAAAGAACATATATGGTCTTTGAGAAACATACCACCTGGATCAAATGAAACATTAACCACTATGTTGAACAATCCAGCTATGATTGTTTGTAGGTAAAAAATCATTTGCTAGACATTTTACATTACTGTCCATGTAGGGAGCATAAGAAATACTCATGATGGTCATATGGTCATATCAAAATGTCTGGGTTTAGAAGGGAGGGATCCAGGGACTGATATTTTTAGGGATATTATTAAATAGGTCCTAAAAGGAGAGCTGCTTCAGCTTGGTGTCTCAAAATGCATAGAAGAATGCCTTGCCTGAGTAGATGCTGATATAGCATGCAGTATTTCCATTAATTGATACACATCATAGAACCCCATAAAGATGCAGTCTGAAAACCAAGTCACTAGGCATTAGTTATCTGTAGGCTGTACATTTTCATGAGATAAGGGCTTATATGAGTGCTGTTGCCACTTTTTTTTTTTAACTAAATAGTTTTTGAGGATTTTCCAAAGATACTTTTCTCCTATGACCCTGAAAACATCAACTTCCAAATTATATAACCTGGAGCTTCCATGAAAAACAGAGACCAGTTGATGGCCTGCTAACTTTTAAATATGCTAAACTCTAGTATCCATTTTATTTGTGGTGTCAAAGAAGCAAAAGGCTATAAATTTTCCATAAAGGACAGTAATGTGCTCCACTTATATGTTCTACATGGGTAAATGGAAACCTATGTCTCCCCCAAGAGTATTGCAGAATGTACTGAAAATACCTTTATCCCTGCCTCATAGCTGGCCTCCCATCATTAATTCTTTCTGCTCTCCTGATCTCATTCCAGATGACAGATGTACTTCCCAATATTAGTGTTTTATGGCTGTTCTCCTGTGAGACATGTCCTTTCTTGTGTCTCCCCTTCTCAAGAGGTTGAATTTGTGGATCCTTTGTTCTAACTTCCTGTTACTCATTCACAGCTTAATATATTCATGAATGCTAACTCTGTGGAAATGTTTCCATGTCTTCCTTGAGAATTCCTAGAGGATCCAGGAATCAATCAGTGACCCTGTTTGAAATGGGTCTAAACTATCAGGGAAGTTTATTGCACATGACCCTCCACAAAGCATCCTTAACTTCTTTGTTCCTTAAGGTGTATACCACAGGGTTCAGGAGAGGTGTGATGACAGTGTAGGTCACAGAGATCAGCTGGTCCTCATCCCTGGTGTTCTCTGATTTGGGTTTGAGGTAGGCAATGGAGGCACAGCCATAGTGGATGACGACCACTGTTATATGAGAGGCACAGGTGGCAAAGGCCTTCTTCCTACCCTCAGCAGAGGCAATCTTGAGGATGGTGGAGATGATGAGGATGTAGGAGATAAAAACCAAGCTCATGGGGATCAAGATCACCAACACACTTATGATCAAAGTCAGGATCTCATTGGCAGTGGTGTCGATGCAGGAAAGTTTCATCACAGGTCGGATGTCACAGAAGAAGTGAGCCACCTTGGTGGTACAGAAGGGCAGCCTGAACACAGCTGGGACTTGTATCATTGCTACAATTAAACCAATGCTACAGGCTCCCCACACCAGCTGGAGGCACACTCTCTTGTTCATGATGACTGAGTACCTCAAAGGGTTGCAAATAGCCACATAGCGGTCATATCCCATGGCCGTGAGCAAGAAGCAGTTGTTGATAGCCAATGTGACAAAGAAGAACATCTGAGTGGCACAACCGGCCAAGGAAATGCACTGACTCAGGCCAACAAGGTTCAAGAGCATTCTTGGTATAATGACAAGTGTGTACACCGTCTCTGAAACTGACAACATGCTGAGGAAGAAGTACATGGGAGTGTGAAGGTGACGATCAAGACTGATGATGGTCACGATGATGACATTACCTGCCAGGGTTAATATGTACAGTGCCAGGAACACAACGAAGAGGGTGAGCTGGTGCTCATGGAAGTTAGAGAAACCCTGGAAAGTGAACTCACTCACCAAAGTGTGATTCTGTTTCTTCATTATATCATATATGCTATCTAAGAAGGAAAAAAATATTGGTGAAACCAAAAAGGGTGATATTGGTAGGCAAGGAGATTTTTTTTGTTCTTGATCTACCACAGGCTTCTTTTTATTTATATTCCCATCCCTATCTGTTTCTTTGAGAAGTAGATCCTGGGGGAATGGTTCAGTATCCTCAGTATGAAGAAACTACATGGATTTTTGGAGTTGAATCCTGTAAATCATTTGCTTCTTCTGTCATGTGTTGTCATATTTTGGGTAAGGGCTTAGCATTCTTTAGACAAATTTTACATTCCTTATAGGGATGTAGTGATAATAGCATCATAACATTATACTGTAAATATAAGTTAGAACCTTTAAAACATTGAATATGCTGTCATATAGAGTTCTGGATGCTGTACTACCTACTTATTTCTGAACATCTAAGGTTGCATGGAATAGTGGCTAATGCGCTTACAGACTGCTTTTTCATTCTGTTCCCTTGACTCTGATGCTCCTATTGAAGCTGCTCTGTTTCTCTTTGCTAGATGCCACTCATTCTTCAAAACTAAGCAAGCCATGTTCTCTGCGAAATTGTTCTCCACCCTAGGCCCACCTTTGTGTCCTTGCATATGTGGGTAGCAGAGAATGTTTTACTATATTTAACTTATGCATTGTCAGCATCTTATTGTGCTTTGGAAATCACAAAAGATACTCACACATATTATATCATTTCATTGCTGTCTTGTGAAGTATGAAGACAAGATTGCTGATTCTTTTGAGATGAGGAATCTGAGATCATCTCTGTTTTGTTTAGGGAATTGACCACATTCACATAGACATCAAAGGATTAGACTAAGTCTTCTGAGTCATTTTGCTTGTTCCTCCCACCGCACAAAACTGCATCATGCATCTCTCACCATCGCAGCTAGACAGGGACCATAAATTCCCACTCTGTAACCACTGTGTGACCACTGCAGTGCAGGACATGAATGTCTCCTTGAAAAATCATAATAAATCATTGTTCCAGGACAGAAATTGCCCACTAGGAAGCAGAAAGCCAAAGCGCTGCAGTGACATTTTCTTCATGAAGGCATAGTGTTTTAACCTCTGTCTCGCTTTTCCCTCATGTCTATGCCATGACAGCAACAAGCAAATAAATAATTGGGTTACAATTTAACATTCAAGTTATGTCATTAAAACACTGTCCAGAAATACCTAATTATAAACATGTAATTAGAAGATAAACTGGTAGTGCACCTTTTCCAGTAGCCTTTATCATCTCTATTACTACCAAACATATAATTATGAGAGGTTAGTTTTAAAATAATTAATTCAGTAACCCAACGATAGAATTTTTTTCCAAAAGTATGTTTTTTTCTGGAATTAAAACAATTAGAACACACTACAAAACAATTTACTGTTGGGTAAATTTCAAAGGTAATTCTTTAGTGCTTTTAAAATGTTTAAGTTTTCATTTTTCATGAACAAGTCACTTTTCAAAAAGGAAAACTCCAAAAAGATTAAAAAAAAGAAAGAAGTTTGGATTCAGCTCCTGCAGGCATGACATGGAAGAAATCAGATGAGGTTGCAAACAAAATAAATTTTGTGTTAGGTGCCACAGAACATTTCTTGATATGGAAAGTTCTTTGATCCTGATGTGTGTAGTGTGGCAAGTCACTATAAACACTCTTTATACACCTTTATAAACTGTGTCTTCCTGGAATATGAATTGTTGAAATACAGGAAAGAGCATGGCAGAGTCACATTCGGTTGTTTGTTTGTTTTTTTTTATTTTTTGCTTATTTATTTTTTATGATAATATTTTTTATTTAAATTTGAAACAAGCTTGTTTTACATGTCAATCCTTGTTCTATCATCCCCCTTTCTCCCTATCCCACTTCTATTGCCCATCCATCCCCTTTGTGCTTCCTAAGGAGGGTTGAGGCCTTCCATGGGGGAATCTTCGAAGTCTGTTATATCATTTGGAGCAAGGGATACTCTCTCAGTCACATTTTTTTAAAACTAAGATTGAATATGTATCCTGGGAAATCCTGATTTATTGCAATTAACAGAATGTGAGATCTTTTAAAATAATACATAAAATAGTAAAGAGGTAAACCAAACATTCACAGATACCACTATCCTCCACTAAGACCATTTACAATAAACCTTTATGTTTATTTTATCTCTCATATGACATCGTGTTAACCACTGATGCCACATCTCAAATTTCACTTACTTCTCTTCCTGTGAGTCCGTGTCTCAACAGAATAACAAGGGCAGAGACTGGAGATGTGACCATGGTTCACAAACATTTACACATGGTGTCATAAGGAGTCTTGAGTGTGGTTGGGAGTCAGTCCCAGGATGGAGGTGGAATGAAAGGCACAGGGGTGGGACTCTTTGAGTATGAGATGTTGCTTCCATCTAAAGAAGGAGATTTTGATGCCCAAGATAGGTTCTCCAAGGAACAACTCCCAGGCATTTGGGATGCTCTTCCCTAAGCACCCCAAGAGTCACCTTGGGACAGGGGAGCGTCAGATACCAGGGGATCTCGTTATATGAAGGACATGTTTACCAGACTCCGTAGCATTGTGTGCTGTGAACTTTGAGGCAGCTTTCATTGCAAGTATACAAAAATGTGGCTTATTTGTCAGGTTTTATTTTATTTAAATAAATATTCTATTTTTATACAGTTGAGCCTTAGAAAACCATGGTTACAAAATCCCAGTGAGATCTAGATGAAAGTCTTAGATTCCAGGAAACTGCAATCCTCACATAGACAAGAACTCTGATCCATGCTAGATGTTTTTCTTTTTCTTTTTCTTTTTGCCTGTTTAAATGAAAATAGTCATCCTCGACTATGTCTCCTTCCTCCCTTCCTCCCTTCCCCCCTTCCTCCCTCTCTCCCTCCCTTCCTCTCTCTCTCTTTCTTTCTCTCTTTCTTTTGCTTTCTTCTTTCTCCTTTCCTTTCTTATCTAGTGGGAATCAAAATTAGAGATAACAATTATAGCATAATATTCTGTGGGATGCTACAAGAACAGATTATCAAAACAACTTTCTCTGGACATCACTCCAGGCCCAGCAGACCCTGGATAAACACACTGGGACTCTTGAGCATAGTTTGGGGTTTTCATCAACCTTGATTCCCTGTCCCAAGTCCAAGTCTTTTATTTCCCGAGAGAGACTCTGAATTTTCTCTGGCATATGTCTCCTAATTGAACTATACTGCTTTTCCTCTGAGTTAACCTTGTATATTTTGTTAAATACATACATACATACATACATACATAGTGGTCTTAATATATTGTAAACCTGAAAAGTGCCCCAGTGTGCAATAGTTTCCCTTTTGTCTTACATAGGCTTCTTTATCCATTGAATTTGTGGTAACCTTTAAAAGTAGGGAATTATAAAATTAACAGTGCATAGCAAATGCAAAACATGTTACTGGCATTTGCTCTTATTGCAATACATTCAAAGATGAATGAAATGAAATATTGGGGGATAGACAGATGACTCAGTAGCTGAGAGTGTGTACCTTCTTCTAGAGGACATGAGTTCAGTTGCCAGCACCTATGCCAAAAGGCTCATCATCTGTAACTCTGGCCCCATGAGGATCCAATGCCACTGGTCTCTTTGAACACACATACATACATGCACACACACACACACACACACACACACACACACACACACACGGAGAAAGAGACATAGACAGAGATATGAGAGACAGAGGCAGAAACAGACAGAGACACAGAGAACAAAATGAAGCTAGTCTAGAGTTAATGGCCTACATTAAAAGACAGATAATGAGCAAGCAACACTTTGGTTTAGTGGGCAAGAAGGCAAGAAGTGATTTGTACATAAGTGTACTTGTCTGCTAGTAGGCTTGGCTTCTGTACTAGTTATTTCTTTGTGTTTGTTTGTTTCATTTATAAACACATTTGTAATATTAATGTAACAATGGTACTTACAGAGCACTGCATTTAAAACATGTAAGATGAAAAGCATGGCAGTAAAACAAACATTTGGAAACCTGTCACTCAGCTCACCTAGGAAGCTGCACTTCCAGGGTTTCTTCCTGTCTCCATGTCTTCTGGTTCCAGAACCTCTCACTGCTGCAGTGGTACCCACAGTCTGCATTATGTTTATTTTGATTGTAAGCAATTACTGCCATTGTTATACGTGTATGAATGCCTAAATAATAGGTCATTGTTCACCATATGTATTTTTGATGAAACAGCCAAAATATATGTATATGGCTCACTAAGGCTTGAGTCTTTTAAAAATTCAATGTTATATTTTAATTTCTTGGATGGCACTATAGCTTATGAGTTGAAACACCTTTTTTTAAAAAATGCCAATACTAGGGATATTTCCAGAAATTACAATGTTTCAAGTATTTTAATTCCCATCCTCATTATTTATCCTGAGCATTTGCTCTCACATTATGCCTTTATTTTTTGTACTTTTTAAAAATTAAATTTATTAATTTATTTTACATTCCCACCACAGTTCCCCCCTTTTCTTCTCCTACTCCTCCCCCGCCTTTTGATTTTCTTTATGGTGGGTTTTATTGAGCACACACTCATTTAGTATAGCCAGACATATTGTTGTGTGTTATATTTTGTACTTCCTTTATTGCTATGAGAAAAATTGCCCTTTTCAATATCATGATATTTTCTTTTAATTTATTATAAATCATGTTAATTTTATGTATTTTCATAAATAAATATATCCAGAGTTAATTGTTATGTGTGGTAAGAGATGGAGATTCAAATTCGTTTTAAGTGGGTGACTGGTTAACCAGGTCCCTTTTCCTGAAGTACTCCCTCTTTCTCACTGCTCTACATCTCGGTATCTCTCACAAATCTCTGAAAAACTCTGTGTAAGCACAGGCCAGCTTAAACACTATACATTGTTACACTAGTCAGTTTCACCCCCTTACCAACATTCTACAGTCTTTACAGATATAATTTCATAATAAATTTTATCAAGGAGATTATCTTATTTTATTT